GAAATGAAAAGTAAGATAAAATAAAACTTTCGGTCACTCAGGATGTTAATTTTCATATTGCATCTATAAGCAATGGAATTATGACAATGTCTATGATAAATTATAGTTATATAAAATATGTTAGATATAAAGCAGTCTTTTAGTAAAGGTACTAATTTTCCTAGAAAAAAATATTTTTCCTAAGGCTGAGTAATTAATTAAAATAATTTTTATTTTGTAAAATGATTAAAGTATTTAAAACTGTACAGCTGAATTATTTAGGAGCTTTTTAACTTTATATTTTTAGAGCATCTTATAATCTTTCAGAAACGAATACATACTACCTTTGAGCAATTATTTGGTAATTATGGATTCTTCTTTTCTCCGTCTCAGGCAACATTATTCTAAAAGTTGGTTCATTTGTTTATTTTTCTTTTTGATAGTACTAAGATATCTTTTTAAGACAACCAGTGTGCCAAATGTTTAAATTGTTTTTTTAAAAATATAAACTTCTGTCTTTAAAAATGGTCATTTTGCTTTCTTTTGATAATAGACATTGGGACCTGTGCCATCACTGCTATTCCTTTTGAGAAGTCCAAAGTTTTATTTACTCTAGAGGAGTTGGATGAATTTACTTTTGTGGATGAAACTGATCAGCAAGCTGTTCCAGATGTAACTCGAATAGGTCCTAGCCAAGAAAAATGGGGTTGGATAATGTTTGAATGTGGACTTGAAAATTTAACCATAAAAGGTAAGCATTTTTTGTTTAATTCTGCTCAAATGGGGGACAAATTGGCCTTATATTGTTGAAATGTTTTGAAAACTGTAACTTTCAATAACCTGAATCAACATAATAAAACATAAAATGTGCTATCTGGGATTATTTATGAAGGGTGGGTGCCCTGTCCCAATTGCTTGAGTGGAGCTTTTCTTCCATTTTGTGATTCAAAACTAGACAGAGCGTGCAGACCAAACCTCAGTGCTTGAGGAACCCTATCTGTGATTCAGAAAAAATTCCCAAATAAAATATAAAGCCACTCAGTTTTTTTAAAGTTTGCATCTTTGACAACTGGATCTTTGATTAGTAGAGATTTACCATATAGGATTTAAACATTGTAAATCCTTTATTCAGTGAAAAATACTGACTTAGAATTGTATCTGCTTTCTTATGTTACTGAATAACATTTTATAATAAAATAGGAAGGTTGAATTGTGCATAAGACTTTTTTTAGGGTTAGTCATTTATAATGTAGTAACTACTATACTAATAGTAGTTGTATATGCCTATAATTATTTAGCTGGTAGTTCAGTCATACATCACTTTTATAGATAGGCCAAAGTCTTGAGAAAAAATGTTCTTTATGAAATTCTATACGGATACTCTAGAGTACAGCATTGAGACACTTATCCACTGTTGTTAATAAATTTCTTTATATTTATAGGAGGAAGACAGTCTGGTGCTATTTTATATAATAGTTTTGGAATTATGGGTAAAGCTAATGTCACAGAAAGGGGTGGAGTCCTGACATCCAATAATTCTTCTGATTCTCCGACTGGCAGTGGCTATAATACTGATGTCTCTGATGACAATCTTCCATGTGACCGGACAAGCCCTTCTTCAGACTTAAATGGAAATTCAGTTTCAGATGAACAAGTTGGTGAATCTCTAATAATAATAATGCTTTGTGAAAAATAACTTAGAAAACTACACACACAATTCAAAATTACTTTCTGGAGTATATTTGTTTGTCCTCCCCTGTTTTGGATTTATAATATCTGCTTAAATGTTAGTCAAAGCATGTTGGTGAATATACTACTACTAGAATATAATTTCTGAAAGGTATCATAAGTATTAATATATTTATATCCACCTTGGTACTTACTATTATAACTTGCTCATATTAGGCACTTAATAAATATTTGTTGAATTAATGAATTAGTAGAATTTAAGAAAGGCAGGCCTTGTATATTTTGAAGGTTTTTAGCAGAAGTCATTTTTTAAATAATTAGTTTTGTTATTGGTAGTATTTTATGTAAGTTTTAAATATTTTTGTCAGTATCTGCTTATTTCAGTTAGAATTCTGAATAATACCTTCCTTATATTTAACTCACTTTTTAATTTTGTTATGGTAGAATTTCATGGTGATGAGTACAGTAAGAGTGACAACAAAAATGTTCAAAATTCTGTATTGCATAAAAATTGTGCTACTAACCGATTGGTGATGTTGGTCAAGTTACTTACCTTTTCCTAAGTTTTTTCACCTGTAACAGGAGTATGGTAATGATATTGACCTTACAGAGTTATGAAGATTGAAGCAAAGGATACATATGAAAGGCTTAAGTCAGTACCTAGCACATAAAAAGAACTTAGTAAATGTTGTTCTTAAGCACATATATATACATACACCTGTGATCATTTTTAAAATTAGATTAACTAAAAAGGAAAGAGAAAAACATCCAAAGAAACCAATGTGGTGTTATAGCACATATTTTGAATTTGAAATAAAAAAAACTTGATTTATAATCTTAAAAAATAATAATGTGCTTCTTACCTTTTTGCATTCTGAACGGTGGTGATTGCTTATTTCAAAACTATTATTCCTGTTTCTCAATACAGAGTCAGATGTAAGATAACTAAGATTTTTTTTATTATAAAGTGTTATTTATTTGAACATATGCTACAGTAGTATTTTTTATGACACTCTATTTGGAAGTTTGAAATATTCAGTTAAAATTTAATGGAAAGCAGATTGCAATAGGAAGCAGAAGACCTTAATTCTGTCACCCATTCTGCAACTTATAATAATAATATAACTTCTGAAAATATATAATATTAACAGTTATATGAACTCTGGCTAGTCACAGACCTCTTTCTCTCTTACTTTGTCTGGAAAAAGTAACACTCAGCATCCCTAAATAAAAATGATCACATGATCAATTGAAACTCTTTAGTTGTAAGATCTAGTGCAGTGGTTTTTCAGACTATGCTCCTTGAAGATTCAAGAATCCATAGATATTTCTCACAATCAGGAGGAGTTTAAACTGAGCAAGGTTCATATTATCTGTTTTATGTGAGAGTGTTATCTACAGAACTTGATTTGATAGAAGGTTTTGCACCTAGGACGTTAGTAAACCTCTGTGTTAATGGTTTTAAGGGACTGTATGTTAACAATTTTTTGGTGTTTTATATAGGATGAAGGAGTTGAATCTGATGATTTGAAAAAAGATCTACCTCTAATGCCTCCACCTCCAGATTCATGTAGCATGAAATTGACCATTAAGGAAATTTGGTTTAGTTTTGCAGCTCCCACCAATGTTAGATCTGCTACGCATGCATTTTCTAGGTAAAAAGTTTTTGCAATGTAGTGCTATCCCTTGATGTTTCTTCTTTATTTCAAATAGCATACAATTCTTTTTCCTATATATTTATAATTTTCGGATACTTCTAGTATTAAAGTTGCCACTTTTTCTATCATTCCTACTTGATACTTTCTGTAGACACCATTCTTACCTTGTTTGATGGCAATTTCTTTCTTAGTACTTTAGTTTTATGTTTACGTGTCCCTCTGCCTTAGACTTATATTTACTCTTTTTACTTCTGACAGGCGTTTTAAAAATGGTTTTCTATTTTCCGTTTTTTACATTTCTTAGTTATGTTTTCGTAATTTATCTGTGGTCAAAAGGAAAAGGAAATAGTTTTGCCTGAGTGAAATAGCCACTAAGTACCGTAGGTATGAGAAATTGAAATACAAATTTTGACACTTATTTTTATAATTTTTTATTTATTTTAAAAGGCAGCTGAACCTGTTAAGTACTGCAACTCCAGCTGTTGGTGCCTGGCTTGTTCCCATTGATCAACTCAAGTCATCCTTAAACAAGTTAGAAACCGAAGGAACCTTGAGAATTTGTGCTGTTATGGGATGCATAATGACAGAAGCATTAGAGGTATGTCTTTAAATATTATAAGTATCAGGCAAACTTTGGTATTGAGAATGATCCCTTATTATTAATCATCATTAGATGATATCAGACCTGCAAGTTCTTAATTACCAGGTATCTTTTATTTGTAGAATCTTTCATGCATACCATTCTAAATCTGTTGTGGGTTGGTTTCAGAATAAAAGTGTGCATTTTCCCCTAAGAAGTAAATACAACAGACTTACAAAAGTTGCCCGCTTTCTCCAAGAAAATCCTTCATGTTTGCTGTGTAATATACTGCACCACTACCTGCACCAGGCAAATTACTCTGTCATTGATGATGCTACAATGGTGAGTTACCGAAACCGTGTTAGCTTTAAAGAAGCCTCTGTTCTGTTGCAGGACCACTGACACACAGGGTTCGAGATGCATGTGGGAAGTCCAAAGGAGAAATCTGCTTAGAAATATAGGTCAATAGACAAGATTGTGTTCAGATGACTGATACGGGAGTTACGAGCATAAAGGTGTTAGTAGAAACTGTGAACATAGAGGAGATTTCTAGGGATGATATGTTGAGTGAGAAACTGGTCAAAATGGAATCCTGAAGAATGCCAAAACTAAAGGAGGGTAGAGAGATTGGATAGAGGTACACAGAGTAGGAAGGAAGAGGTAGAAGAATCAGGAAAGAGTGATGTCTTGGAAGCTAAAGATATAAAGAGTTTTCAAGGAAGAGAGTAATAACTAGAGTCAAATTTCACATATGATTTAATAAAATAAGGACTAATTAATGATGGAAGGAAGAATATATAATTGCACAAAATAAATACAATTCATCTCTGCCCTAGAGAAGCAGATAACACATCAAGATTAGGGGTTTAGAGCTTTAATTATCTCCCTTCTCTTCTCTAAGCTTCTGGCCAATTGGGCATACATAAGAATTTTTAGTCAAATTAAGGACCAATGTATCGGTATTGTTAATGGCCAGTCAAGCCACTGGCTAGGCAAGTCAAAAATCTTGTGATGTGTTTGATTAAGATACTTGGACTTAAGGCTGATGTAGTGCTTTCTGCTCCCTCCCTGTGAATTGAAGACTGGAAGATCCACAGTACAAGCCTACTTGCCCATCTAGTTATAGAAGATAGAACAGAGAGAATGACAGACATTTCTCAGGGATGGATGCTTTGTCAGATGTGCTTTTCTTGTAAGAGGAAGAAGCACAAGATGGCCCTTCGTACTTTAGTCTAGGAATGAAAGGACGGGCTAGTGGACTTGATGTTCCTCAGAAACTAAATGGAGGTGTGTCCTGCCCTCCACTAAATAGTATTCTTCAGTCAAATTAGCCAGGTATTTTCTCTTTAGACTAAGGTTCTGTTAGAAAAACAGCCAAAAGTTTCTTTCTTACAATCATCACCATGTAGAATAAAATATATTTTAAATTATATAATTGTTACTAATAATTCCTTTAACTTTCAAGGCACTTACAAATTCATCTATGCCTAGCAGTTTAACTTATAGTAATTTGATTTTTTAAATGTTAAAATGGTGGTAGTCACCTAATATTTGAAGAGAGTAATTTTATTTCATCTTTGCTTAGTGAATAATCCAAGTAGCTCAAAATACATTTTGACTCTATTTGGCCAAAAAAGTAAAGTGGATTGAAGGCTTCTTAAGGAGAATCCCACTTTTTCACCCACATGTAGTGTCATATTGACTGGTGCTGCTGTATTATTTTGTGACAGAAAGATGAAGTGTTGTGTTTAGAGACAGGATTCTACAGTCAGCTTATAACTGAAACCCTGACTCTCTTGGGTAACTTTGGATAAATTACTTAACATCTAAGTTTTAGTTGCTTCATTTCTAAATGGGGATTATGAGATTTAAATAAACAAATACATGCAAAGCACTTAATTGGTAACCGTTACTATCATATTAGGTTATTTCTAACCACATCATTGTTGTTCTAGAGTGATGGACTTCCTGCTTTGGTAACGTTAAAGAAAGGTTTAGTTGCACTGGCAAGGCAGTGGATGAAGTTCATTGTGGTGACACCAGCCTTCAAAGGAGTTAGCTTACATAGACCAGCTCAGCCCCTGAAACCTCAAGTAGCTATGGACCACGAACATGAAGACGGACTGGGGCTGGACAATGGGGGTGGTCTTCAAAGTGATACCAGTGCTGATGGAGCAGAATTTGAATTTGATGCCGGTAATTTTGCAAGCCTATGTTGAAAGTTTTCTTACTCTACACAATTGCTGTTTGTTTTTTGCTTAGATATGTGTGTTTTCTATTAATAATGCTATTATACCTCTTTAAAAAATACCAGGACCCTTTGATTTTCCCCACTGTTATTAACAAATTACTAATATAAGCCAGACTTTTAGCTGGATATTACATACTTGTTAACATGATACTTGTGATCATTTTAATAATTTGTGTCCCAAATTTGGAAATATCATGGCTTAATTGTATAAGTAGTATGATTTTTATTAGTCCAAGTAAGTGGTAATAATGTTGGAATCTTTATACTGACGTGATTTTATAAGTTTAATTCTTTGAAAAGTAGACTTCTGATCTATCCAGTAGAAAGACATCTTTATATAACTATAATGTTTTGAATGAAACATATAAACCTCCTTTTAAAGTTTGTATTTGTCTTTTTATAATCTTCCACATGCCACAATCTTTTAAAGGGGCCACTGTCTTTTTTACCTGGTGCCTGTTGGATCCTGTATTTATGTAGATTTGGGAGCCTGCACTCAGCCTACAATTCTGTCAACAAAATGGCTGTGTTAGAACAAAGACAGTGGATATGCATTTCTGAAATGTACATGCATACTTTAATTCTTTGCCAAAGGTTATTATTATCATGACGTGTAATATTCAGGGAGAATTTATCATACCATGTTTTAAGCAAAATATTAAAGTACCATGGGAAATATAGTAGTTTTAAAGTAAGAGATTTCAGAACATTGATATATAATACTTTACCCAGCTTAGTTTTTTTAAATAACTGTATATTTAATGAACAAATGTGTTATGAGGAATAGGCTGGATTTTATTATTTATTTTAAAAAATTTCGAGTCTACACAGAAATTGAAAAAACAGTTCAGTGAATATCCCTTCCATTTATCTGCAAATGCCTATGTTAATCTGCAAGCATTCCATAGTTTCTTGAGTTTAGTTGAATTGGCTTTCGGTCTGTATGTCATTTGCCTGGCAATCAAATAGTAGCTATTTGCTCCTTTCTTCAGCCTGAGGGAGAGGATTGGGGTTGGGGAGGTAAAGAGAGGATTGGGGTTGGGGAGGAAAAGAGAAAAGAGTAAATATTATATCAAATTCCACAAATAATTTGTCACGGGATGCAAAAGTTGAGTATAATTATACAACCAGGATCACTGAGGTTGATGTTCGAAGAAAATGTGATAAATCTATTGCTTACTTATTCTTTTGAACTGTTTTCAGCCACTGTCAGCGAACACACAATGCTACTAGAAGGAACAGCTAACCGGCCCCCACCTGGTAGCTCTGGACCTGTAACTGGAGCTGAGATAATGAGGAAACTTTCTAAAACACATACCCATAGTGACTCTGCATTAAAAATAAAGGTATATTATTGCTATTTTTGGTTAAAGTTATTCATTCAGACTTAGAAGAGCTAAAATATTATTTAAGTATTAGTTATCCACCCTAAATATTCAAATAGCATTTTTATGTTGAAATTAACTTGATTTATAACTTTAGTGTACGTATTTTTTTGAAAAATTATATCATCAATAATTTATACTGAGTAAAGACCACTTTAACTACCAAGCCTTAGGGCTCTCTTCAATTAATTGAATATTCAATAAAATCCAATACTCAAAATGCTGATAATCTTGTAATCATCAATTTTAAGCCTTTTAGGCAGTGTGTGATCAATATATGGTTTGGGTTAGACTATTTTATGATTTTAATTATGTTTTAAGAAAACCCTCTGATCAAATTTAGGTACTTTGCTGTTAATGCTGTTCTCTTTCAGAATTTTTTTAAAACATTTTTTTGCTTATAGGTTATAAAAGTCCTCCAAAAATTTGAAATTCCAAATGCTTTGTTTCAGATCTTTGCTTTTCAAGATCTTTTTGTCAGTGTAGTCCTTTTTTTTTTTTTTACTATGTTTTAAATTGATCCAAAATTCTAATCTTAGATGTGACAGAAGATAGAAATTGTAAAATTCTGTAATTTTTGATTTTTTTTTCATTAAAGAATAGCTGAAAGGTGTTTTTGGCATTTTAGAGCTCTCCAGAGAATTAAATCTTAACACAGATTTTATTATTAGGGTACTAGGAAGGATAGTATAGTGTTAAAAATTTTGGGATAGAAGTCAGGCAAAGGGGTTAAATATCTGATTTTTTTCTTAGTAGGTATGTTGGTGACTTTTCTTTATTTGCAAGATAGAAATAATCTCTTACCTTAGAGAACTTGTTAAGGGTTAAAGAAGATAATATGTGAAATGTGCTTAGCAAGTGTTTAATATTTTGTAAATGCTCTTTAATCTCTTCTGTTGACATCCTTTCTCCACCTTTCCTCACCTAAGTGAGGATGACTGGTAGGGCATGGAAAGAGTGCAGACCTTTCCACTTTCCAGAGAGGGCTGAGACTTTAGAGGGCTTCACAGCACTGATGGCCTTTGCCCCCAGGTTTCCTGCACTCATCATAAAGCCTCTAGTTTCCTCCCAGGTAGATGTCTGTGCTGACTTCATTAAGAAACTGCAGGGAAGGTTGTGGAAGGTAGACAACTTTCTTTTTTCTAATTTTATTTTGTTTCTTTTCATTTCTTTTTTTTTTAAAGAGAGGATCTCATTATGTTGCCCAGGCTGTTCTCAAACTCCTGGCCTCAAGTGATCCTCCTGCCTCAGCCTCCTGAGTAGCTCGACCTGCAGCCTTGGGGCTACACATGGCCTTTTGGATCCTTGAGTGTGGCCTTTTGACTGAATACAAATTTTACAGAATAAATCTTTTTAATAAGAGGATTTTACTAATCCTTTTATTAATTAATAAATCCTTTTATTAAAAGGATTTATTCTGTGAAGTAAGTTTGGATTCAGTTGATGGGCTGCACTTGGGTATCTGGAGGGCCACATGTGGCTTTGAGGCTGCAAGTTCCCTACCCTCATGTTACAGATCATTTTCAGTGTATATATTTTTCAATTGGTTCTTTTAAGGAACATTTTATATAAGGGAGATTGTATCTGGGTATCAGTTTGCTGGTTCAGTAAATAAGCAATGATGTAAAGAATTATTTCAGGCTACTTTTTTTCTTTGATACCCACAGCAGTGTTCCTTAGTTCCTCTAGAAATACACAATCCATAACTTTCTAAAGTTCTGATGCTCTGTCTGATCCTTAAGTATTAATAGTGCTTTATTTCTCACTGTCTGTTTGATATGCTCTGCTGTGTTCTACATGTCTTTTCACTAGACTCCCTCATCAGATTTAAAAGGGAATTAGTGATCCATCATTAAAATAAGTGAATGTGTTTGCATATAATAATGATAATAAAAGTGGACCTTTGTATTGTACTATGTAGTTATAAAACATTTTCAGGTACAATTGAGATTCACCACAATCAGTTTGGGTATTAACGTGCAGAATAGCTAGCAGTAATAGCAACAGTGATAGTAGTTGTAGTTAATAGCAGTCATTTTTATATGCATAAGAAAGAACCCTAACTTAATTTTTCCCGCAGGGCATTCACCCATATCATTCTCTGAGCTATACCAGTGGAGACACTGCCACAGATTCTCCAGTGCACGTTGGACGTACTGGGATGCCAGTAAAGGAAAGTCCAAGGAAGGAGAGCCTACTCAGCTATCTGACTGGAAGCTTCCCAAGCTTGCACAACCTCCTGGAAGGGACCCCTCAGAGAAGTAGTGCAGCTGTGAAAAGTAGTTCTCTCACAAGAACAGGTATATCATCTCGATTTGACAATTATGTGTTTGCTTTTATGGGGGAATTAAAAAAACAGGACTTAAGTTTAGTTAGATATATATTTTGATTGCATAACCTTTCATCTTATACCTTATCTTTGAGAAAATATTTCAGGAAACAGTTGGTCTGTTTGTAACTTTTTGGTGTCTTTGTGCCCTTAGTTTGCATTTTTACATTGCAGCACTGATTAATGTTAATCTAGGCATTTAGTGTGGTGTGCTGTCCAGACCAGCCAATATAGAATTCTCCCACATTGTAATAAAAATAAACTATTTATTAATACCTTAATATCCAAATATCAGCATCATGCAAAGAGAGTTTAAAAACCTCTGTAAAGACAAACATTTTAATCTGACTTTTCCAAAATAATTATATAAATTACATTTTCTGCTCCTAGTACATAAGTAACGCTGTACTCAGTAAAATTTTACTTTCAGGAAATACAGTAGCCACTGATATGCTATCTGAACATCCCTTGCTATCTGAACCATCATCTGTGAGTTTCTATAATTGGATGTCAAATGCTGTGGGTAATCGAGGAAGTGTTGTACAAGAATCTCCTATTACAAAATCAGGACACAATAGTCTTCCAACAGGTATTAAGTTATCTCATTATTTTGCTTAACTGTCTAAGGGGCACATATAGTTATAGCAAAATCCTATTTGTTGGAGCATGGCTAAAGAATCTCAAACATTTAAGTACTATTTGGTTGAAATTGGCCCATTTGTAAATGCCTTTAACAGTCTTGCAATTGAGAGAGTAATAAGCAGTCACTCATTTTTCTTGTGAAAAGGCAAATTTATCAAACATGAGATTATATATAAAGAGTTTAAGACTTCCTTTTAATGTAGCTGGTTTAATTTTCAAAACACCAAAAGGTGGTAAATGAAAAAATGCACAATACAACGTCATATACCTAAGTTATGGAAAGTATTTTTAGTTTACCCAGATCCCTCTGAGGCATAACAACTATCATTTTATACTCCTTAAAGTTGCTTAATAAATATTTAATTAAATCTAAAGAAGTACTAAGAAGAATAAGATTCCTTTTCTTAAGGAGGGAGACAGATGAGGGCCATTTATTAATTTTAAAGGAATATGTATAAGTAGGAAGAAGACTAGCAGGAAATTTTCAAAAGAAGTGATGTTGGTTATATGCACAAATATAAGTGGACACACCATTTTTTTCTATTCTTTTTTTTGTTTCATATTTTTCCAAGTTTACTAAACGTATGTATTATTTTCTTACGTATATTTTTAAAAAAAGGATATGTGAAGTAGCCTTTGGTGATGGTTACTGAAAGCAGCCAAAATTAACCTGTGTAACAGCTGTTTAATGTTTGGACAGCTATTTAAATTCTTTCAGACAGAAACTATGAAAGTATGAAAAATGGTTGATATGTAACTACTTAGTTCTTTCTTTTGCTATTGTGTGGACCACTTTGAATCGGGTACTGATTCTGATTCTAACCACATACTGGTTCTTAGCATTGGGCCTTGGCTGAAGAAGGTAGAAGGGTGGTGCTTCCACCAGCTCTTGGTAACTTTCTGGTACCAATCTCACAATACCACACAGAGTACATACACTTTAAATTTCAAGAGAACCAGGAAGGAAGAATTCCCCTCTGTAATGAGTCCTTTGCCTGGGAAGTTAAAGGATAGCAGGAGCAAATAGTGCCATTTCATTTTTGTTCTGGCTCAGGAAAGCATGTGTGTGATTCTGTGATACCTGTGGCTTTTACCCTGCTGCTTTCTGTAATTCTCTGTCTCAATGCAAAGCTGATGGGGCATTAAATGCTTTTCAAAGATCTTTCAGCCATAAAATTCTATGTTTTGGACTGACTGGTTTTAATGTAGACTTTATATGTAAGGATGACTGATATTTTCTGAAGATTTAGTTTAATTTCATTTTTCATTAATAAATCATGTCTGTAAAATAGCCTAAAAGTACTAATTATTTTTTCTTTTCAATTTAAACAGTCTAATATTGGTACTACAGTACAGACTTCAAAAGTTTACCTTGCTGTATACCCTTTTATGTGTTTCTATTTCCTAATAATTTACATTTTATTTTTGAAAATTTATTGTTAGGTGTTGCACCCAATCTTCCTACAATACCTTCAGCCTCAGATTTCAACACTGTCTTGTCTAGTGACCAGAATACTTTGGATGGGACACATTCTCAGCATAGCACTAGTCAGGATGATGTGGCAGGTGTAGAAGAAGCAAACCAAGGGTTTCCTGCTGTTCAGCTTGCTGATGCACAGGTGAGCCAGCCTGTTTTTCCCCAATTATAATAACGCCTCCTTAGGCAATACTTGGTAACTATTATAGAACCATCAAGCAGTATGCATCTTAGAATTCCAGTAGAAGTCTTTATTCTGTGCCTGTCTGCCTCCAGCCTTCATGCAAAAAGTACATGGATTAATTATAAATGCAAATTAAGCATCTATAGATGATCATTAAACAGAAAAGTCTCATATAGTGACATTTTTGTTATTTTTAACAAATTGGCCAAGTAATGTGACTAGAAAGTTAAATTTAATAATATGCCATAGTCCTTGATGCTACCTTAATACTTTATTGACTGAGCAATGGGGAGGCATTGATGATTTCAGAGCAGAGGAATAAAGTAACTAAAACTGTACATGTAGAAATAGTATATGAGTGGCAAATGTGTTAAATGGATTGAAGTGGAAAAACTAGAGGTGAAAAGATGAGTTATTGAAATAGTTCACACAAGTGATAATGAGACTATAAGCTTAGATGGTTGTGGCTTTGCAAAGGTAAAGGAGACTATTATGGAGGTCTTACTTAATTGATTAAATGTGGACAGTAAAGAGCAAAATCCTTTGAAACATACTTTTTTAGTTTGAGTGACCACAAGTGGCAGAGTGGACATAAGTGAGAGGAGGTGTCATTTTTTTCAGGATGAAAGTGTCTCAAACATATTTACAGGTAGTTGTCCCTCTGTATGCACAGGGGATTGGTTCCAGAACCCCCCAAGGATCTCCAAATCTGCAGATGCTCAAGTCCCTTTTATAAAATGGCACATCCTCCCATATACTTTAAATCTTCTCCAGATTACTTATAATACCTAATACAATGTAAATGCTATGTAAATAGTTGTTAACTGTGTTGATTTTTTTTTTTCTTTTTTGCAAGATGGGGTCTCGCTATGTTACCCAGGCTGGTGTCTGACTTCTGGGCTCAAGTGATCTTGCTGCCTCAGTCTCCCAAGTAGCTGGGATTACAAATGTGTGCCACCACACCTGGCATATTTTTTACTGTTTTTTGAAAGCAAGAGGTAGAATGATTTACATAATTCATAATTTTCCTTGTACTTTCACACAACTAGGCAGGGTCAAGGAATCTGTGTCCTTAGGATTAAATTGAGGATGAGTGACACATAATAGGTGCTCAAAAATGTGAAGTTTTTAGTAAAATTAGAGCCAATTATATGAGACCGTTTTTTGCTTCACATTATGGTAATGATATGTACTCTGGTAGGATAAGAAAAACTGTATTTTTCTATATATAATTCCTGCAGTAAATGTTGAACTGTAAATTGAGCTGATATGAATGTTTATGTCTTTTAGGTTGTTTTCAAACCTCTTCTGAGTCATACAGGGATCCAGTCACAGGATACAATGCCACTCTGCTACCGAATGTACTTCGGAGAACACCTTTCATTTTCAGGGACTTTGGACTGCCTCAGAGCAGATATTGTGGACTCAGACACAGCCAAAGAAAGAAAAGGCAAAAGAGCAAGAAGGTGTCTTTTGCATTTTTGTTTAAAATTTTGTGCAAGAATTATAGTACCTATTTGTTTTTAACTTTGCTTTCTTCTTATTCTAATGAGCAAGTAATTTTAATATCTTAATGAGATGATAATTACCATTTAATAAAAGTGGTAGCCACATTTTCATATTAATAACCGGTTGATTTTTATCAACAGATTTATGAGGCCTATTTTTAGGCATATTTTTGTACCATGTTAACACATATATGAGGGTCATCTGAAATATGTATGTTGATATACACACTCAGCATTTACTTATTTGGCAGTAGTGGAATTCTTACGATCCTAAGGATTCTAATTTTGTATGTTTTACTTAGAATTTATTCCTAACTGTCTTTATGAGTTGACTTGAATCAGGTAGTGTTTTGTATTAGGAACAGGGTAGAAATCATATTGAGAGTATAGCCATGAAAAACAAATAAACAGGAATACTAAGTTTAGCAGGGTGAAGGTTAAGAACCATCTTTTGCTGCTTTTCTGTATTGTCATGAATGGTTTTTCAGGTTTTTTTTTACTGCTTACATAGGCAATTATATACCCACTAATAGGATTCGACTAATCTTTTGGGAATTTGGAATTTTATTTTGAATGGGTCTTTAGTGAATGGGAATAGTAGAATATGAAGGTAGATGGCATTTATGACGGTGTTTGCAACATTCTTGGTTTCTTCCTTTTTGTGCTGATGCAAGGTGTTAAATTAAAACTAAAATACTTGTATCAAATATATAGCTAAGTAAAATATATTTTTCATTTGAAATATTGTATTTAAAAATTTAAATTGAACAAAATTAGTTTTTGTAAAATTTCATGGAATTATATATAGAAAAATATAGTTCTCTTAAATTTTGTTTCAGGTCAAAATGTCTGAGGAATTTCTAATGGCACAGGAACAGGGAGATCACATTGTTTTTTCTATTAAATACAGGGCATCCTTGCATTTCACAACAGTGTGGTACCATAACAATGACCGTGCAAGCTGAAACAGTGCAAAGTGATTATAATAAACAGTGGGAAAAATTACTTTTATTTTGTAACCTTGACAGTGTTCATCAAAACATACTGTTTATTATAAATGTACAGTGAAATGAAAAAAATAGTAAAACAAATATTTAGTACACTGTATTTAAAACATAAGAAACATTAAGAATTAAACTTTTTTATTTCTTTGTAAAAACTTACCAAAGAGTAGTTTTAACTGTCCTTTTCTTCTTCTCATGATATAACTTACAATAAAGAACAAGTATTTTTTCCGTGCTTGGCAAAATGTCATACTCCCTTGTAAGCATGGTTCGGTTTTGAATATTTTATCCTTTGTACTTTCAACATCATGAAACACTTGAAGTTCCTTTCACTATAGAGGTGTTTGTCAGCATCATTTCCTCTGGGATATCCTCATCCCTTTTGTCACAGCCATTTTCCTCTTATGTCAATAAGGTTGACTGCATATCTAGAGTCTTGAACAGTAGAAGCATCGACATTTCCATGGTCAGCTGTTTCTTCAGTAATTCCATTTACAATGGATTTTCACTGCCAGTGTTATCATTTTTTGTTTCTTTGCTGCATTTTCATCTTTGTTGTCCTATTCCTTCTTTTTGATTATTCATTTTTGTAAAGTATCATGGGGATTTATCACTGGGAGACAAGGAGGCAACACAAGTAACTACGTGTCTGTGAGGGAATTGAATAACAAATGTACTTTAACCAGTCACTATCACTGACAAACTTTGCAAGAAGTGATGTGATTGGTCAGTCATCATGGTGTACACCTGTTTATGTAGTGACTGAAGAGCTGGTGGCAAGTTTGTACTTTATGCAATTATTCACAGTAAATTTTAGTTAAAAATTTGAACCATATTATTGGAAAACTATTACTTAACTAAACCACATAACTGAAATTTTTTTACATTGGAACCATCAAACCTAGACTCAAAACATTAAAACCTGCATATACTCCCTATTTAGTCTTAAAATAGCTGAGCTAAACTTGTATTTCTATTTGTAATAGCTGGCTTTCATATAAACGTAAATATATTTATATATATAAATGTATATATACACATACAGTGTATGAATTTTCATTATATAATTAGGGTATCTATAATTATATACAGTATAATTTATATATAATAGGTTAAATATAGGGATATAGATTATATATGTAAAATTAGATTATAATTATAGCCTTACTTATCGGCCTAGTAAATGCCTTGTAATACTGCTGCGGACTAGACCATCATCCGACCACACTTCTCCTTTATGTTCCCAGAGAGGTTATTTGAGTGATTCTCTGAACTTAATTGCTTTTGGTCTAGCTAGCCAAACCTAACACTCCTTTTAATCACACCAGCTCTGTGGTAAGAATGCTCCACATTCTTACAACTAACTCATGGTTAGATTTTATTTTTCAGAGCTCTTGTAATTCCACCTCTAACTCTTATTTATTTGGAGACCTTCTCCACACTTGTACTTTTCCTAGTCATTAATTTCAGTCTTGTCTGGATTTTTTTGTTTGTTTATTTTTTGTAGCACATTGTTCATCCTGCTAATTATTATGTATTACTTTTGGGTTACGGTTTCTTACATAAACATGTATAACTCTCCTGCTAGATTGTAAAGCCAAGGCAGTTATTAAACCATTTGTCATCGAGTCTGGCATGTAATAAGTCCTTATAAATATTAGTTTCTTTATGTCTTTACTGACTTCAGTGAAAATTGCTGCATATGTCCAGGACTTGATAAATGCTTTTAAATTTTAATTGTAACTGTTTCTCTGCAGTGCTTATGTCAGATCTTTACTTGTCTGGCTGCTTTTTCCTTGAATAACTGCTTCACATATCCCCAACTTTTTTCTTCCTTACTTGAATCTCCCCTCTTTAAGACTTTTCTTGCCACCCATACATACTATAGATTCTTATTTTTGCTGTTGTGGATTATTTTCATCTCTTTGAAGTCTTCTCTCTCCTATCTGTTCTAATTCTCAAAATCCAGTTTTTCTTTCTCTGACCACATGCTTAGCATTGATTGTTTGCTTCCTGTGAGTTTATACATTCACATGAATCATACTACAATATGGCATTTTTCTTATTAAATAAAAACTAGTATTCATTAAGAAATTACTATTCTGTAATGATAAATTCTTTAGATTGAAAACATCAAAGCAGATTCTGATTTTTTTCTTTTTTTACAGAAAAAACTCCTAGGTTTAGTTTGACCTATATAGCTATACATTCATAGTATACCTAGAAAAAGAGGGAAAAAATACCTTTTTACAGTTTTGGTGTTTGAGGTTTATTCTTATTATTGGTAGTCGGTTTTTGGAAATTTGAGAAATTTTTGGTTTTTTATTAATTAAATTGACTATAATATTCTTACATGAAAATCTTTAGATAAACAGGAAAATTTGCCAAAATAATTTTTATATAAGATTTTAAGGATTTTTTGGTATGATTCTTGTTTTTGTTTAAGTTGCTTTTCCTCTATACTTTGAACATGGCAAAGTATACCATGAGAGTTTCCTTTGTGGTTTCTTTTGTTTGTTTGTTTGTTTGTTTGTTTATTTGTTTTGAGACAGAGTCTCCCTTTCTCTGTTGCCCAGGCTAGAGTACAGTGGCGTCATCATAGCCTCAAACTCCTGGGCTTGAGTGATCCTCCTGCCCTCAGCCTCCCAAGTAGCTGGTACTATAGGCGTGTGCCACAACACCTGGCTAATTTTTCTGTTTTTTGTAGAGATAGGGTCTCACTCTTCCTCAGGCTGGTCTCAACTCCTGGCCTCAAGCAGTCCTCCTGCCTTGGGAGGAGTGCTAGGATTACAGGCGTGAGCCACTATGTCTGTCCTGGTCTCCTTTATTATAGCAAATAAAATTATATTAAACGGGAAAAAATTAAATATATGGTTATAGGGGGAGGGGATGATTAATGGAGGCATCCTAATTGTTCTATAATTAACCGTACATTTCAATACTGTAGGGCTGTATCATTAGATGGCAAGAAAAAGTGTTTTATCACTTTACTGAAACCATTTCTTAACATAAAATGATTTGGGCTTGTTATTCAGTTTTAGAGTAAGATCAAGAAGGAAGACTTAAGGCCTATCTTCCAACTTGTAAAAAGACTGACCTAGTGAAAAAGCATATTCTACTGGTTCTCTTGCTCAAAATTATTTAAATGACTTACATTTCACCTTAGAGATTATTTTGCTTTTGAATTAATAACGATGTATGGTTCTGGAAAAAAGGAAGTAAAACCTTGTCCTTTTTTTTTTTTTTTTTTTTTTACATTTTTAGGCAAGGCCATGTGAATCTTCCTCCACTTGAGTTCAAACCAGCATTAATGTTGGAAACCTTTAGCATCAGTGCTGTTGTAATGGAAAAGTCAGTGTGCACCCCTCAGAACTCTACCAGTGCCCTTTCTTTTCATGATCTCAACAAGCGTTATTACAATACCTTTCACTGCAACTTTACTATTTCCTGTCAGTCAATAAGCCAACATGTAGATATGGCTTTGGTTCGTCTTATTCATCAGTTTAGTACAATGATAGATGACATCAAAGCCACTCAGACTGACATTAAACTCAGCAGATATACAGCTGGATCTGCTTCCCCAACACCTACCTTCAAAACTAGAAAACATCGGGATTTTCGTTCATCTGACTTCAGCCGCAGTTCCAGAGGAAGTCTTAATGGTGGCAATAGAGTAAATAATGCAAAGAACAAACGGACCAACAATGAGAATAACAAAAAGGAATCTCGAAACAAAAATTCATTAGGAAGATCTGAAAGAAGAACTTCAAAAGTGTCTAGGAAAGGTTCCAAAGATGTGGTGGATCACATGACTATTCATATGGATGACTCGGATTCAATTACAGTATCAGAACAAAGTGAGCCTTCAGCTGAGTGCTGGCAGAATATGTATAAATTGTTGAACTTTTATTCACTTATTTCTGATCCAACGGGAATACTGGAAAAATCTTCAGAAACATTTGGACCAACAGGTGACAGACATTTTTATGTTTTTTAAATTTCTGTTTAGCAATAATTTGAAAAAAGACAGCACGTTGTTCATTGTTTCCTTAATGTTATAAGTGGATAATTGAAATGCAGAGAAACTGTCAATCACCAAGGAGAGAAAATAGTAATGGCATTCGGATATCCTGCCACCCCATTTCCCATCCTCTCTAGCCTTTACATGGTATGTTCTTAAAAAATTCAGGCAGACATGATTTAAAATATCTAGTTCTACTATTTACTTTTGGTAGGAACTTGGGAAAGTGTTGAAAAAAAATTTAAAATTATTTTGATGAGGAAGAGGAGGAAGAGGACTGGTTGGGAATGTGAAGGGAAGAAAGGTAAGATGATGTTTGGAATGTCCATTGATTTTGCAGTTTTCATATCTAAAACTGTATGTTTCCATTTACTTATAAAGGAGTTCGGAGCCCTACAGAGCCAACATGTAAAGTTGTGTTTGAGAATGAACAAGACAGCAACAGTTTGACTAAGACGCAGAGGAAGCGTAGCTTGGTAACTTCTGAACCTCAGCATGTTACTCTAATAGTGTTTGGGATTGGCATGGTGAACCGCACACACTTAGAGGCAGATATTGGTGGACTAACAATGGAATCAGAACTGAAGAGGATCCATGGCAGTTTTACTCTTAAGGAAAAAATGAAAGGTATGACAATTTTCTAATACTGTAGGGCTACTTTTCTGTACTATGGAGTGTCTCTGAAATTCCTACTTATCAGTTTTTCCTCAGAAAACAGGATGTCCCAAATTCTTCAGTGGAATAGTACCAAGAACTTGGAATGCAATTGAAGATCATTGAATTGAGGCAGCTTTGATGTCTAAAGAAAATATTTGGGCACATAAATATCAAGCTAATGTACCTAATACCCAGTGGCATGTATTCTTTGACTGTCTTTTAATACCAACTAGTAAGATGTCTGTAATGGCTGAAAATTTTACCAAAATAATGAAATTTGTGAAAAACTTGCTTTTCTTTGCTTACTTCTAAAGAAATCTTATACTCCAATACTCATTTTAGTATCTCTATAAAAAGAAGTCCCTGTAGCTGATATAATATTTTCTAGGTTAACGAAAACATACCATTCATCTTGAAACTGATAACAGGGTATGGCATTTTATCGGATCTAGGAGACCATCAATTTGAAGGTGCACCATTATTTTATGTTTCACAAAGAAAGAAAATAATGTTGCCATATATGGCAAGATGCCACTGATTGTAAAATGCATCCCAATTTCAATGATGCTAAAATTAAAAAAAAAAAATGCTTCTCGGAGTCAATAGATACAGCAGCATGAAACTGATGTTGCAGGGATTCACTTGCAGCAGACTGTAATACCAGTGTCTTTTTTTTCTGGTTGTAAAAATTACCCGACAGGTTATATTACGTAAGAAAAGAAAATTATAAATCACAATGTATTTTTATTGTTAACTTTATGATTACCAAATATGTAAGGTCCAATGAAAAGTTATTTTGAACTTACCTTTCATTATATACCCTGTTTTGTTTTGTATTCTGAACATTTATTATTTACTCAAAAACTAATTTTAAATTAAAAATTATGTACTATTAAAGAAAATTGTCTAAAGAAATTAGATAGATTAGAAATTGAAAAATACAAACATATCAGCTCTCCTTAGAAAAATATAGGCAAAGGATATAGGCAATATACACACAAGCTCAGATGACTAAGTTGACATAAAAAATTTGTTCAACTTTACTGGTTAAAAAAAAGAGTTATTGATTTTTTCATTTGTTGGTTTAGCAAAAGTTAAGAATGACAATGCCCAGTTTTGGTGAGAATCAAGGAAATGGATGTTTTTCTTCTCTTCTAAATGGATATAAATTGGTTTAACCTTCCTGAAGGTTAATAGTTTTTATCAGTAGTCTTTAAAGCACATTTATCCTCTGACTCAGCAACTCTACATCTGCAAAACTAGGTAGAAGAACTAATCAGAATTGTGTGAAAAGATGTCTGTACAAAGAAGCAGCCAGTCTGGCATTAAGGAATTGGTAAAGTTATTTTTATAGCCATATGACAGTTTACAACTTACCCATTAGAATTATATTGCAGAAGTTATTGATGTGAAAAAATGCTAAATGAAAAAAGTAGCCAAAATGGTATGTGTGATTTCATTTGGTTTTGTTAAGTAGTAAAAATATTTACACCCTCCATTAAAATCACAGGAATTATATGGACCAAGAATGCTAGTTTATGTGGTTCCTTTTTTCCTACCTTTTTTTTGATTGTCCAAGTTTTCTGCACTACTAAGTATTATTTCTGAGATTTAAAATGGCTTTAGGCTATTTAATGCCAGTAGACTATTTAATGCACGAATAGCATATTAAGATATGTATTTTGTATTATTGCAATTTTGACATGTAATATGTATGTATATATGAATGCAAGGAAATAAACTGTAAAGAAATTTTTTAAAAAGTAAGCTTGAAATAGTTGAACAAATTTTATCATAACTTTAAAATTATCTTTTGCCACGATATGTTATAAATAAAATGCAATTTTATTATAAAGTACAGTTATCTTATTTCCAGAATTTAAATAATTATTTTTTCTCATATTTAAGATGTTTTACATCAAAAGATGACTGAGACATGTGCCACTGCTCATATTGGTGGGGTTAATATTGTGCTGCTTGAGGGGATTACACCAAATATACAGTAAGTGTGTTGATTTTTATTATTTTCTTATAATTGTTATAGTTTTAGAGAAAACTTAAAACTCTTTGGATGAACCCATACCTGCTGAGTTTTGAGGTTTATACACATAATCTCAGTTCTCAAATACTTAGATTCTGACTGTCATTAAGAATATCACCAGATAAAATGTTTTTAGAAAAATAACTTTTTTCTTCCTAAAACTGGTTTTACTACCTGCCCCTACCCCTTACAAAAAAACTGACTCCCAGTACATTGTTAAGATTGTATAACAAGAAAAATGATCACAATACAAATTTCAATTCAACATACGAGAGGCCAATGTTCACATAATTCAAATAGTTAAAACAAAATTACAGGCAAAGAATATAGACTCACTTAATTTTATATTAAATAAGCATTACCCATATTCACTCTAGATTTCAAAACTTTCGCTTGTCATTTTGGCATTTAATGTATTTAACAGTAAAGCCTATGAAACCCTTGTAACAGTATAGGTAAGCCTTTTATAGTGAGTATATCATATACTTTTGATACTTTCTTCTTACCTTTTCCTTGTAAGTTCTGTTTTTGAGTCTGTTGAATTGCTCTGATAATGATTACCTTTATACATGATATTCAGATGATTAATTGGTTACCAATATATTTAACCATTTGACTCTATTCATACCCTTGGTAGTATGACCTTCATTCCTAACTTCCTTTCAGTGGAACAGATTTATGTTGTAACTACAAAATTGGTTTTGATAATTTAGGTCAGATTTTGAGAATTTGCTCTTTCTTAATATTATAACCAGTTAATGTTGTGCTACGTTTGTACTGTAATGCATCCATCATGCTAAATACTGACTAAATAGATCTGGTTAGTGCTGTAAAAATTACTAGTCATAGATTGACTAAGAAGTATGATACGTTACAGCTGCTACTCATGATATTTTAAGAATCTGAATAATGTGATAGCGATCTAGGGGAACATTTCCTGAAATGGATATTTATAAATGTGTCCTAGCTTTCTGCAATGAGTTTTAGTTAAAATCAGCAACCCCAGAGCCCATTCTCAAGACTTCCTGGAGACCCTGTCAGGTTTAAGTCTTGCTAGAGTAGTTTGAACCTCTAAGTCCAGAACCAAAGACTGTGTATTCATTTCATTGCAGCTGCCCAGTGTCCATCACATTTCCTAAACAGTCTTTTCAAGAGATACCAGGAAATTGCAGTGGCTGTGAGAGATGTGATCTTTCTCTGTTCATTCAATGTCGGGGGAGTGGGTATTACATATCAATTACAGTATTATAAGTGCCTATTCTGTGCCAGGAGCCTCACCTAGATTATTTTATTTAATCCTCAACACAATCCTATGAACTGGGATAATTTTATCCCCACTTTACAGAACAATATATTGAGGTTCAGAAAGATCAATGTATTTGCCTAAAATGCTTAAAATCATATAGTCAGTAAGAAGAGATGCCTGAACCTGTATTCCTTCCACCTCATCATGATGCTTCTGCAGAAAGTTTTCACGGACCATGGATTCCATGATTCTTTTGTAGACTAAATTTGCAGTACCGTGGCAACTTTCACCTATTCAGAAAGTAAACTAAATTCCTTTAGATGTTCCATGTGTTTTATTTATTCTATCCTATTGGATATCTTATCTCCATTATCTATTATCTCTTAAGAGAAGGGCTTCAAATAGTCTCTAAAGTTGCAAAATGTAATATTTATGAAATATTAATAGATTTTTTAAAAAGCACTATATAGTTGATATTTCTTGCCTTTTCTTTCCCCAAGTAAAGATGTCTTAACTGTTTTATTTGAAAAATAAAAGTTATTCATTAGTCACTGCCAAACTCATGCTGTTAAGATATTTTGGATGTGTTCTTTGGTATTTCATTTCCAGTTACAATTAAAAGGAAATGGAATGGGAAAAAAAAAAGAACAGTTCAAAACATACTTTGAAGGAAAATGAATGTTAAGAGTGGGAAATTAGAAAAGCTTTCCAGATGATTGGTCATATTATAACTAATTTGTGCATGAATGTTTATATGCTTCCTTTTTGTTTTCTTGCTTTCTCTTGAATCTTCATCTGTAGACTGGAGGATTTTCCTACATCTCCTACAAGTACAGCCAAACAAGAGTTTCTGTATGTCATTCTTTTTCCTGGCTTTGTGTTAACGTAGTTTTGAGTAGTTTTAGATATTTAAATTATCTTCATTGCTGTGAATGTATGTAGTTATTGTTTTGTAGCTTTAATATAGACCCTTTATAGATTGAAGTTTACTGGTATTCAAGGAAAACACAGGTAAGGGCTTCCTTTCGGTAATTCATACCTTGTTCTGTTGTTGTTAACGGGTTGTAATGCTGTAGTTGATTTTTGAGACAAGTAACTGCTAAAATTTCTATGATTACAATTATTTGTTAATTTTTGATATAATAATATAAACCTAAAAAATTTCATTTTGCCAATGAGTTTTCACTAATTGCAAAATAATTATTAAAACACTAAGAAGAAAGCATCTGCACAACTCAACCTTATAATTCTGTTTTTAAGATGAGGAGAGTTTACTGTTCTATTGACAGATCTGTAGCTCTACAGTTTCTGGTTTAATTTGGTCAGTGCAGGACACCATGTTGTGCAGCAGCAGTCACGTTGTAGTGGTAGGGATCATTTACATGGACTACAGTGTGAATGGGGCTCTCTCAAGTTGGGCAACATGGAGCCCTTGAAGTCCTTAATATTAAAATTTCCACTGGAAATACCACAGTAGGATCTACAGTGGAGGAGTTATCAACCCCATTAAGTTTCCATTCTGACTTTTAGTATATAATTGGGAATCCAGTGTTGCATACATGCTTATATAATCAAAAGTAATATTTAGAAAGACTTCTACAGGTTATAAGGGTAAATAGCAAGATAGGTGTGGAATGTCTGGACTGCCTTGGTGGCAAGACAGATTTCCTCGTAAACGTGTGTTTAGTTTTATTCAATAGATGGACGCTATTCACAGCTAAAGAGCCATTTGCATTTTAGCACCATCTGGATATGTTGTGGCTCATGTTGAAACTGAACTTGAAATATCATTGTTGATAAACAGTGGTCTAATTATTGTAATGTTAGAAAAGATTCAAAATTCAGGTACGTAGTCAGGATTCCTGAGCCTGCACTCATGCAGACTAGACCAATTCCATAGACTACTTCTCCATCCCTATCCCCATCAGTGATCATCTCTGAAAATAATGTCTTATAGACGAAAGGAATATAGTTCTCTAATAATCATTTTTTTACATTTTATATAAGATCTAGATTACAGTCAGTTAATAATCAAGACCTCTGATAGAGCTACTGTTATGCCTCTCAAGACTTATTCTAAAAGAAGTTAAATGTGATGAATTGATTCTTTCTATCATTGAGACTATAAATAAACCATTGGTGAATCTTCTGCAGCCAAAGCAGAGATTAAAATTTATAAACTAACCTGTAGTTAATATGAAATTTGCATTTTGTGTATTTTGCCAAATCTATTTGTCAAGAATCTTTTGCCCATTTGAAAGACAACATTTATATTAGAAGCTATTATCTTATTACATAGGTCTTTAATGGTGCAGTTCATTATCTTTCCATTTTATATGTAAAAGACTGCTGTATCATGGCTTCTACATACACATCCTGTTGTACACTATCTGTGGAATTCCACAGTTGTAGTGTTGAGAGTCATTCTTCTGCTTTACTTCTTTCTGCTTTTTCATTTCAAAAATATTTGGTGAGTGCCTATCATCTTCCAGGCACTGTCTAGGCATTGGAAAGAGAAGAAGAAAGATAATATGTTTGCTTTATGTCTATACTAGTAAAGTGTACTAATGCTTAACTGAGAATACTGGCCTTGCTCTTTATGAATCAGACTTCTGTCATTTCTTTGCCACTCATTGAAAATATAAACTGAAAATAAAAAGCAGAAAATGCAAGTTACTTTATTTCTTCCTTCCCGTCAATTTCTTTTAACATAGTGGGTGATTGTAAGTAAAATTGCTTTGACTTCTTGATTAGATTTTAAGAAGTATGGTGAATTTCTTTTTCTTTTTATATTCAGTGTCTTCTCCTTTTAGTGGTTGTATAGATCCCTAAAATAAGTTGGAGAAGAGAAGTTCTGAATAGGGAAAAAAAAATCAAAATAGAATTTTGTGTGTGTATGGGTATGTGTAATGTGTTAGTGTTCATGCTTTTACTTACATGTGAACTTATTTTCTTCTATAAATTCTATTAAAGAAATAGAATACTATTCAGTGTAAACAATAAAATATATTTTAATATTTTTAGAAAAGAGTATTTCTTCAATATATGATTTAAACACATGAAAAATCTTAAGTCGTTTTAGTTCCTTAAATTATTTAAAAGTGTCTTGCTCTCAATACTTTCTCAAAATTTCTCCTTATTTGGCTATATTTTAATGATCCTCCTTTTCTATTGATAGAACTGTAGTGAAATGTAGTATTGCCAAATCCCAAGCCCTCTATAGTGCCCAGAGAGGGTTGAAGACAAACAATGCTGCTGTGTTCAAAGTAGGAGCTATCAGCATCAACATTCCTCAGCACCCTGCTACCTTACACAGTATGATGGTTCGAAGTTCTCACCAACTGTCTAAACAAATCTCAGACCTCATCAGACAGCCTTCTACAGCGTAAGTTATTTTATTTGTTCACATTCTGTAATTCCATATGATACCTCAGGATATTCTTCGCTGTGTTAACAAAAGTTTGGAGGAAGACAAAGGCTTACTTCTAAGTATTGACCATTATGGACAGTGGGGCAGGTAAAGAGTAGCCAGACATGATCATGGGAGAGTCATATTGGATATCACCAAAGTACTATGTCATAAATGCAATTGTCAGTGTTATGTATTGCATAAACAAAACTTAAGAGATCCTAGAGATTTGTGGACATAGTAAGAGGTCATAATAAAAGCAAATTAATGAATTCTAGGACTATATCAATCTTTGTTTACACTGAATTCACTGAAATTTATGACTGCATAAATTTAAGAAATAGCAGTATTCATTTATGTCTTTATGTCCCATGCATGTTCTCGTGCTGTCTTTTGTATAAAATTATAGTATATGATTCAAAGCAGCATTTGACCATGCCATATAAATATTTTAAAGGGCAGGAAATCAGACCTTTGCATATTAACCTTTATATTCCCTATGTCTATAACCTTTGTTCATGTGTCTGCATTGCAGAGCCTTATTGTTGGTCTGCAAAAGTTATACCTAATAAAAATATATGTAAAAGGTAAAAAATTTGTCATATTATGTTTTCTTTTCCTCATCCTATGAAGTGGGAAAACATTAATGTGTCTTTTCGTCGTGTTCTTAAGCAGTGATTTTTCCAGCTGTTCTATCAAGATCTTTAATTTTGATGTAATATTAAATCATGGCTGAAGTTGACCTAAGTGGTAAAAGTTTAAATATGTTGTGGATAGAATATGGAATCTAGAATGTGTACAGCAGTCTTAGTTTTAAAATTCTCTAAGAAATTTTTCCTTATTATCAGTAGTGTAGTAGTTAAAAAATCAGACTCTGGGGTCAGACTGGGTTCAAATTCTAGTTTCACTACTTTGTAGCTGTGCTTCCTCATTTGCAAAGTGGAGATAATAGTACCTACTTAAATGGTTTTGTGAGGTAAATGAGATAAAATACACAAAGCACTAAGAATAGTACCTGGCACTCAAATAGTTATTGTTGGTGTTGGCATTATTATCAGTGGCAATAATAGTAGTGGCAGTAGTGTTAATAGTATTATAGTCAACAGTAGAGTGCATAATGGTTAAGTTATAGAGTTCGGAATCAGAGAAATCTGAGTTTAAATCCCAGTTTTACGTGAATTATATGAATTGCCTTGGCAGTATAACATTCCAGGAGTTTATATTGTTATAACTTCTTGTCAACTTTTATAGATCATAATTGTTCAAGGGCTGTTTTTAGGAAGTCTTAATATGATCTGATATTGGAAAGAAATCATTGTTCACAGTATATATTTGGTATTTTTCACTAAATCCAATAATTTTATACAATAAAATGGTAGCTCTTAATTGTGTTTATTTTTTAATTCATTTTTTGCTTTATAGCCCTCAGCCTGTAAAAGAAGATATCGCAACGCCACTACCTTCTGAAAAAACCCCAACAAGCGTTAATCAAACTCCTGTTGAAACAAATGAATTTCCTCAGCTGCCAGAAGGCTTAGAAAAAAAGCCTATCGTTCTTAAATTCAGTGCCATGTTAGATGGTATAGCCATTGGAGCAGCACTTTTACCATCTCTGAAAGCAGAATACAAGATGGGAAGAATGAGAAGTCATGGAATGACAGGTAAGCTTGAATTTTAAATTTACTCTCCTAAAATTTATGATTTGAGAAATTAATAATATTTTGATGAAAAGGTAAACTTGGTTTTATAGATACTATATGAAAATGTAAGTAATTTTGATAACACTTGAATTTTATTATTAGGTCATTATGAAATGTCTGATTTCCTTAAGTACTAAGTTTGACAGTTGATATCTCTGACATTTCACTTTCATACTTGATTTTTTTCCCCATTGTGAAGATGCATCCTCAGTTTTTCAGATACATGTTTTGACTTGTGATTATCTTTCACGGTTTTTTAGAGCAATTTTTGTGAAACCATGAATAAGTCAAAAATTCGTGTTATTTTTGAATATGAGTTCCATCATGGAACCAATGCACTGCAGACAGCTCAAAATATCATCAAAGTGTTTGGGAAGGATGTGGCTAATGAATGCATGGGACATCGATGGTTTGAGAAGTTCCACTCTGGTGACTTTAATTTTGAAAGTGAGCCATGTGGGTGACCTGAGACCAAGGTGGATAATGATGAGCTGAAAGCTGTAGTGGAAGAAAATCCATCTCAACCTATGCGTGAATTAGCAGCAGGGTTTCATGTTACTATTCTAACAATGTTAGACCATTTAAAACAAATTGGCAAGGTAAAGAAGCTGGACAGATGGGTACCACATGAATTAAACAAGTGTCAGAAGAGAAATCATCTCGAAGCTTGCCTTTCCTTGTTGTCACGACATAAAGGCAAACCATTTCCATACTGTATTGTTATGTGTGATGAAAAATAGATTCTTTTTGACAATTGCAAGCATTGAGCACAAAGGATGGATAAAGATGAAGTGCCAAAACACAGTCCAAAACCAAAAAAAACTAATGGTGTCTGTTAGTGGTCCAGCACTGGTATTATCCACTACAGGTTCATGAAACCTGGTCAACCGATTACAGTGGATGTCTGCTGCAGTCAATTGAATGAAATGAAGAGGATGCTTGTGATAAGCAGCTGAGATTGGTTAACAGAGATAGGCTAATCCTCTTGCAAGACCATGTGTCACAAAAAAAACAATGCTGCTTAAACTACAGAGGCTGGACTTGGAAACTCTCTGTCATCCACCATATTCACCAGACCTTGCACCAACTGACTACCACTTCTTCCAGGCTTAGGACCACTTCTTGCAAGGAAAAATATTCAGTTCTCAACGAGCTGTGGAAAATGCCTTTCACGATTTCATCGCCACTCACTCTCCAGGCTTCTTTGCTGCTGGAGTAAACAAGCTACGGTTAAGATGTCAAAACTGTATTGATAGTTTAGGCACACATTGTATTGCTTCTTGTTTGAGATACAATAAACTACACTTTTGATTCGAAATCAGATATTTCATATTTAATGACCTAATAATAATATTCTCCAGTCAAGTAAAAAAAATCAGTGCTGATCCTTGACTGGCCGGAATTGATTATGTTTTGGACTCTTTAATGTTATCCAACTATTGAGGCCAATTCTCAAGTTTAAACTTAAGTTGAATAAATGAACCAGTTTCTTTGATGTTATATGTTTAACATATGCTGTCACCCAGTTAGGGGGATATCATTTCACTTTTGATCAACAGATATTCTTAATTTTAATGTAATTGAATTTTTCAGTACTCTCCTGTATGATGTGTATTTTTATATCCTGAAGAAATCCTTTTGTTCCCAGAAAATTAAATATATTCTTTTATATTTTTTCTTAAAAGATTTGAGTTTTGCTATTCATATTTAAGTTATTAATCTATCTGAAATTATTATTTTAAAATTGGTGTGGGATAATATGCATAACCAATCATCCGAGCATCACTTATTGATCTATTTTTTTCAGGGATACATAATCCAAAAATTAGTTATATATTAAGTGTTTTTTTAATGTGGGAGTTCATGTCTGAGTTTTCTATTCTGTTTCATTGGTTTGTGTGCACTGGTGTCACATTGCTTTTCCTTTTTTGGGAATTGTCCTGGTTATTTTCGGTTCTTTCCTCTTTCATATAATTTTAGAGTCAATTTGTCAAGCTCCCTGAAAATGCCTGTTTAGATTTTTATAGGAATTTAATTAAATCTATAAATTTATCTGGGGAGAATTGACAGCTATACATTATTTAACCTTCCTATTCCTGAATAAGCTATTTCTCTCTTTTTAGGTCTTTAATGTTTTTCCATAAAATATAAAATTTTTCTACTTAACGGTTTTTGTGTATCTTTTGCAAGATATATTTATTTATTTAGACATCTGGATACCTTTTGTATTGTTGTAGCTACTACAACTGTTATCTTTTGTAAAATGGCTCTTTCGTAGTATGTGCAGATATGCTTGATACTCTTATGTTAATCTTATACTCACCAGCAATATAAACCATTTTATTATTGCTAGTAAGTTGTAGATTCTTTAGAGTTTTATCTGTAGACAGTCATACTATTTAAACAGCAAATAATGATATTTCTGTCTTATTTTCAGCTTTTATTCTTTTTATTTCTTTTTCTTGCCTTACTCTTCTTGCCTTGTCCCATTTTTTAAGGGAATCAACATTTCACCAGTGAATCTGATGTTTGTTGTAGATTTTTGCTAGTTTATCAGGTTAAGAAAATGTACTTCTTTTCCTAGTGTGCTAAGAGTTTTTTTGTGAAGAATAATGGGTGAATATAATCAGATACTTTCTTCTGTATCAATTGAAATGAAATTATATTTCTCCTTTATTCTGTTAACATGATAAAATACACTAATTTTTAAAAACACTCATGTACATATATATGAATACATACATACATGCATGTATTTATATATGTATGCATATACAGTAGCCCCCCTCTTATACATGGATTTTGTTCTCAGTTTCAGTTACATGTGGTCAATTGTGGTCTGGAAATATTACATACAATAAGATATTTTGAAAGAGAGACCACATTCACATAACTTTTTTTACAGTATGTTATAATTGTTCTATTTTATTATTGTTAATCTCTCACTGTGCCTAATTTATAAATTAAACTTTATCGTAAATATGTATATACAGGAATAAACATAGGGTTTGGTACGATCCATGGTTTCAGGCATCCACTGGGGATCTTTATGGATTCCCACCTCTAGCATTTTAGGCTTTCTTTATTAAGAATGTTTTTTTCCTGAACATTTAGACCTTTATATTACCAGAAACAGAAGCACTCTAAAATGAGCTTCCAGATTTGGCGTAGTCAGAAGTCTTAGGCCTTCAGATATTAGAGGTCAGGGCTGACAATAAATTAGACTAATTTTGGTCATTTATTCATGGCACCCATGAAATGAAAGGCTCAACAGAAGCAGGAAGTTAAAAGCCAGATGGGCAGTTTAGAACTAGAAAGATAGAAATATTTCAGAGAATAGTAAATATATTGTTTAGAAAGCTAAGAACCCAAAATTCTTATTGAAATTGGAAGCAAAGGGACAAAAACAGTAAAAGAATGACTGCACTAGTGATAAGGGATGACCCAGTAACTGAGGCCTAGGATTACTTCAGTCTTGGTATTTTTATTTGGTGATGGGTTGGCAGTAATGGTAATGGTAGCAACAGTGGTAGACAGTCCCCACTCCTTGCACCTTGCAAGTGATAGTCAATGAGTTTGGCTGGTTGGAGTAGTGGGTAGTTGTGACCTATCTGGCTATTCACAGATACCCCAGTTGGTGAGTGAGCATTTTTCTGTTTATGGCTAACTCATTTTAATTGTAAACATTATTGTATGGTTAGTTGAATCTAGTGAATGTGACATACAGAAAGTAACTCTTGATTAGTATTTTGAAAAAAGAGAATTATTTCTGGCTGAGTTGAGAGCACTAGGAGTATATAATAAATTTTACGTGTAGGCAAAATTTACTATTTAATAATATTTGGGTGGAGAGAATTGGTAACATGCAGAAGAATATCAGTAGCTTTTGTTGGTTTGAGAGGAGCATGTGCATATATATTACATAGGTAATGGACAATAACAGATCTTGATTTTAATAAGGCTTCTACTCCTTTGTACTCTCATGGACAGTTGGAGAAAGATAGGCCAAATAATAGCATAGGTTGTATATTTGTATTCGTTTGAGCTGCTATGTGCCAGATTGTTGATTTAAGTGTTTAAGGCCAATAGTAAACTAAAATTCGTAACATATTCTTATTTGGTATATATAGACCCATTAATAGTTATTGTTAAGGTCAAAGATGCATGTGGTTGTATAACTTTGTGAATATTTCAGTGAGTACAATTGAATTGATTTGCCAATTTTCGTTACTTCCTTTCACACTAAATTGGGACCAAGAGACAAGTTGTTAACTGCTAACTATTGTCTGTGAATGAAGCACTGTATGGATTGGGGAATTGTTTTTTGAACTTGACTAATTCTCTTGTTGTAAATACTCTATAATAAGGGCAATTTTTTCTCTGTTCTGCCTTCTGTGAAATAAAGAATTGTCATAGGTGTGTCTTTAGCACCTAACACAATGCCAAGCACACAGTAGGCTTAATAAATAAAACTTACTGGCTTAATTATACTTGCTGACTGACTTATATACTTAAAGATAGAGAATATTTTATAAGCAAATTTAAAATATCCTTTTATATATTTTAAGGTAAGTTTTGGGATATCCATACATCTTTCTTACATACCATTTTTGGAAAAAATGAGGAATGAGTGAGTGAATGAGCATCTATCTGTATAGACAATAATGTTTTTTATTTCTTACAGGTGCACAGACAAGATTTACATTTGAGCTGCCAAATCACAGACTGCGTTTTACTTCAAAAGTTTCTGCCACAGATATGTCAACCATTCCTCCTTCTGCCAGTCTTAACCTTCCTCCTGTTACTATGTCAGGGAAATATATAATGGAAGAACATGATAGTTATTCAGATCAAGTGTGGAGTATAGATGAACTGCCTTCTAAACAAGGTTACTATTTACAGGGAAATTATCTCCGTTGTGTGGCGGAAGTAAGTCTACTTTTAAATTTTCTTATTCTTTGTAATTTAGGAGTCTTCAAGATTTAGGTGTACTAAAAGAGGTACTGATCCAAACTTTTAAGGAAAAGCATTAAATCATTTATTCCCACAGAAGAACGCTAAACCAAATCAGGGTGTGTGTGTGCACGTGTGTCTGTCTGTCTGTCTATCTATGTTCCTGCCTGCCTATCCTTCTCCCTATAGTTTTATTTAAACATGCTTTTTAAAATATATATTAGTCATCTTTTAATTAACATTCCTTACATTGTATTTAACATCCATCTCTGCAATATTTTCATGGTTCATTTGATTATAAAAACCGAATAGCAGCTAACTTTTGTCAAGTGCTTTATACACATTGACTTCTATAGTCCTTAAATGAACCCTATGAGTAGAAATATTTGTTCTCATTTTATAAGTAGGGAAACTGAGCCTTTACAAGTTTACGTAATTCATTCAGGTATACATAATTATTAATGATAATCTAAAAATCTATATAGAGCTGTGGTCCCCAACCTTTTTGGTACCAGGGACCAGTTTCATGGAAAACAATTTTTCCATGGACGGGGGTGGACTGGGCTGGGTGTGGGGTCACAGCTCAGGCGGTGATGCATGTCCCTATTCCTAACAGGCCATGGACTGGTACCAGGCTGTGGCTTAGGGATTGGGGATTGTTGTTTTTATTCATAGCTATGTCCTTAGCACCTAGCATGGTACATAGAATAGATGGTCAATATATATTTTAATGAGTAAATAAATGTGTTTTTACTTTATAATGATACTTGTCTATGATTCTAAGACCACAAAAGTCATCATTAAAAATAAATTTTAATCTAGGCAAAATTTTAGTTTCAAAATTAACAGGTTACATGTATATTTTCCATTTGTCTTCGAAAGATTTCTCATACCTTATTGACTACTTTTATGTAAAAAAAAAAAAAAAAAAAATATTTGGGGAATGGCCCATAACAGTGTCAGGCCAGTAAAGTATTAGGAACTCTTAAGTATTTTTAACCCTTTTTCAGTATATCAACTTCAAATAGTATATAGATAATTATCTCTTTTTCCTCAGAGTTTTGGATGATTTATTTGAGGAAAAAGATGTAAAACTAATATAATCAATAGTGTTAATCTAATATAATTTTGTTTGGCAGGTTGGTTCCTTTGAACATAATCTCACGACTGATCTTCTGAACCACTTGGTATTTGTACAGAAAGTGTTCATGAAGGAAGTCAATGAAGTAATACAAAAAGTTTCTGGTAAGATGATCTGGTGCCTTATAGTATAGGTGTAGGTTTTTATTCTCGTTGACTCCATCGCATCCCATGTGTTTGTGGTATGAGTATTGATTATAGCATTTAGATATAATTGTCAGGTAACTCCTGCAAAACTCTGCATTCCTTTTCTGGCTTTCCTATCTATAGTCTTTGCTTTATTTTTGTCATGTGTAATATGCATATTTAAGATTCATAAACTTCAAAAAGCTCCTTTGTGTTTTTCCCTCAACAAAGAAAAGCTTAAAGTATGTCTATTAACAAACTAATCTTCTTGATTTGGGAACAACATTTAGGTAACTATTAAGATTTCAACCTTTGTACCAGATGGTGACTATGCTGGCTACATGGTAAATTGTCTACAGCAACCTTCATTATATTTTTGCTATGCCTCAAGAATAGATTGCAATTGAGATTCTTACTTAGTCATTTATATACTTCATCAGGAAATATATGTATGATTTAAAAAATTTAATTGATTTTTAATTCATGAGATAAAGTATAAGAGGAACCAGTGTGAAAAACAAGTTCTATGTGACAATTCTTAATGCTGAGTATTTCCAGTATGAATGCTATCATGTTAAAAGAATGTTTAAGTCAAATGTATGAATCGACATCAAGAGAAGTTTCCTTTATGCTCATGGGTTAATGTATCCATTTAACAAATTTATTAAGTATCTAGTTTTTCAATTACAATTTTGATGAGTTCTGCGAATGGCAAGAATGGGGTGCTGTGATCCTGCGTCGTAGGAGAAACTAGTCTAAGGAATCAGAAAGGCTTCTCAGAGGAATTTGTATCCAAAACCTTAAGAATGAAGACTAGCGTGGCAAGAAAGAAGGTGAGGTAGCAACGATGTAGGCAGAGCATATGGACCAGTATTTGATAAGGCTCTGAAGGAAGACAGTGCTCATTGGATGAGGGAATTAAATTATGTAGCCACAAAGTGAGCAACAGGCTTCCCTAGTTTTCCTGGGCTGGTTCTGAGGTCAGGAAGCTACTTAATGACCATATTGAAGAACTCCAGCAGAACTATAAAATTTAACAAGTCAGGTCACAGAAGGTCAGATCATTGGTAGCCATGGAGTTTTTCTGCAAATGATTTACTAGAAACCATTAAGGAAGAGATAAATATATAGCAAAACTACTTTCTGAGACTGAAGATGCCTCTACTTATGGAACACACACAAGTTTTGGTGTGGCCCATTTACCTGATTAAAATTACATTGGGACATTGTTTATGATAGGAAAGTTGTTAAGAATATATCAAGCTGGTAAATTTTTATGATTTCTAAGGAATATTTTATTACCATGTATGTATAATTAAAAAATAGACTCTTACATTAATCTTGTTATTTCTCATGGTAAAAAGCTGGCATTGTAGAGTTCTTAGTATCGGATTGTCACTGTAAGCCTCCCTTAAGGTGCTTTTTATGGAAGAGAAAGGCTTTTTTTAACCTTTAGATTGCAGGCAAGAGATACAAGTATATCCCAAGTTCTTTGAGAATGAAATGGAAAAAGAGGACTGGAAATAAATATTCTAAACATGAAGACTTTTTAATCACTGTGAAGAACAAAGAGATCAGATTATAGTGCCAAAGTCATTTAGTGGCTAGGTCTGCTCCTTGAACTATTTCTTCTTGACTGCAGAGACAGCCATGAACCCTGAGAAAATGGCTGAAATGTAAGTTACTTAGCATTTAGGTGGCCACGGGGCCTGATGGAGCAGAGGCGTTCTGTTACTCTTTCAAGACCAGAGAACATAACAGAATATTGAGAGGAAATGCTTTGAGCGCTTGTTGCTCAAATTTCTCAGTATTCTGATCTCTGTATTGCCTCTCTATTCTCCCATAATCTTCGTAGTTATTTTCCTTATTTTTTCTTATATTCTTCTTCATGGTTTTCCTTCATGTTACATTTAGTGTTAGGACATTTTCTATTGTATAGGAAGACATATGTTCACAACAATCATCAAGTTCATCAGGAAGATGCTTTTCTAAAGAATCATTTCTTATTTGTCCATGGAGGACTTATAGGAGTGCTTGGGTTTCAGAAAGATCTAGGTAATCACTGACCAAGCAAACAGAAGAGACCCATTTTTGAGTATGTACAGCCATCATAGAGAAAAGCATATGAGGAGATTACCTTCTTAGAATTGGGCCAGAAACATATTTTATTAAGAAGGATAGCAAAGAAGTCCCAAGGAATTAACAGCCTGATGGCTAATCCAGAGAAACACCTCAGTATAGTCTTTAACTCTTGGGGAAAGACTCTGTGTAACGACACTTCCTAAACACAGGCTTTGTTAAGTCATGCTAATGTTTTTCAGAAAATTGTCAGGCTAGCTATAGTTTCATAATAGCCTAAACAAGTTAATAACTTAACCAAGTATAATGGATAAGATGCACTTAAAATTATATATTTATGCCATAATCTCAAATAAAATTTGCTTGACACAAAAGCAGCCAAGATTAGATGGATAGATAGACCATATAAGCAGATTCAGATTTTCCTCATATTTATTTTTATTCTTATTACTTAGAAAAAATCCTAGTTATTCATTATTTAATTGGTCAAACAGAAGAGATGGCCAACTTTCAAAAGAAGAATCAGTGGAGCTCTTATTTGATCTCATCTGATCAAATATAATGATGTGTTTGTTGTATCTCATGGTTACTCTTAACCATGCTCTTGCCTGTAGAGCCAGGGGAGAAACTAAGAACTCTTCTGACTTACTTTCACCCATCCTGTTAGAAAGTGTCAGGGTAGGCATAGAGTCATAAACAATTTTGAGTAGCAATATTCTGACAAATCCTCAAAATGTAGACATTATTCTTTATAATATTTTTTCTTGAATATAATTCAGTCTATACTTCAGAGTAGAAATGATGTCATGGTATCTTTGAAAACATGAGATTAGTAATGTGTTCTGGAATTTGATCCACAAACCTTGAATACTTTGCTCCCTATCTCATCATCCATATCATTCTTTCTTTCTCTTTCCTGTGTGTTTATTCATCTTTATGTACAAATGTCTTTTTTCTTTCTTTGGGCCAAGTTATGTTTCATTGTCTACGTTTCCTCTGCCTTACCTTGCACGTGCCTTCTGTTAATCACTGCCTCTTTCTATACCTTTCTTCCCATTTTTTCTTTTTCTATTCTAGTAGAAAACCAAAATAAATTTCTGTCATGATACTAATTGAATAGATTTTGACTTCTAGTTTACATTTCAGAAACCCATAAAAGATTCATTTTTATCTCAAAACAAACAAAAGCTACTTTTTACTTATTTGGTTATTAGTTCTTTTGATACATCAGTGGTCCCCTAATAGAAAAAAAAAAAATTCCCATCCTACCTATACAGACTCCCTGGGGTAATGCTAAACTCCACATATGTACAAAAAATTAATCATTTTAAGATAGAATATTTGAAAGATAAGCATACAGAAAAATTTTCAGATCAACAGAAAGAGAAGTGCAAATAGAAGTTAGATATTAAAATATTAGAACATTATTTTCTGAATGCCACATTGCTTGGGCGAAAAATGCTCTGTTAATAGGAACGTTATTAGGGCTCCCTACCCCTAATATTTTTTAATCTGTAGGACAAACATTTATTGTCACACTCTTTATTATTAGGCATGTATTACCTTATTTTTCATTTCTCCACCTTTATTTTTTGTTCATTCTTTTTTGTTTACAGCACATCTAAAGATAAAAAACAGTTCACATTGTTAGTTGAAGAAATTAATCTGGTTTATTTTCCTTCATATGTATTTTCTGAGATGTACAGTCACATTTGGTTCAATTATGGGTATAATGTTTTAATTAGTTCTTATTAAATTATTCTTAATAAATGTCTATACATGCAGACAATGTCTTCTATACATCTGCCTCATTGAAATGTAACTTGGCTAAAGAGCTCTGTTAAAGACTGACTTAATGGTCAGTAAAAAGAAAATACGTATCATGTGAGGGTTTTTTTTAATACACAAAATAGTTATTTTTTTTTTTTTTCCTTTTAGAGAAATTGCCCCAAACCCTCAATTATCTAACTTTTTTTAGGTGGGGAGCAGCCTATTCCTCTCTGGAATGAACATGATGGAACAGCAGATGGAGATAAGCCTAAAATTCTCCTCTATTCCCTGAACTTGCAATTTAAGGTAACATAAATAATAATTGATACTTATAGAAGCATTTTACTAATCAATTAATATACATTTGTCATAGAAAATTCATATATTAATAATACATAAATTACCAGACAAAATAAAAATGAACTATAACTCCATCTACTCAGAGAAAAAGCTTAAACAACTGTTTGACTATTTTTAGGACTTTTTTTCTTTCTTTCTTTTTTTTTTGAGACAGGATCTCACTCTATTGCTCGGGCTAGAGTGCAGTGGCATGATCATAGCTCACAGCAACCTCAAAATCATGGGCTCCAGCAACCCTCTTGCC